TAGGAAACGTTATACATTAATTGACATAATTAGGCATACTAGTTATCAATTCTACAAATTTTCTCTTGTCAAAAAGTTTCATCAATGTTATATGTTCAGTTTGAATTTCATTAGGACAAGGTTGGTATATTCTCTCAAAATTATGGGTAAATAATTTAAGGGTTAGTTCGAAATAATTATTATCATGCAAAACTACTCGATAAATTATTTATCTCCATTTTGAATGGACAACAACAAAAAACCTTCACTAAAATAACTATTGCCTTCCCACTCAAGCCTATTTTTTTGTGGAATCATCACCCTAATTGTTATAGGACTAGTTAGAGATCGAGCACCTTAACCTGGGTGCATCGGATTACATGCAAAATTTAGATGACTCACCGGAACCAAATGATATAACTTTAGTTGGTATATGAGAGTTAAGCATATGAGATTGAGAGTATATGTTCGATTCTCTTAATATTATTTTTGGAAAAAATTTAATACTTTAAACATGATTGTCTCCCGTACGGAGGATCTCTTTGATTTTAAAAAAAAAAAAATCAGGGTCATTAGTTAACATATTTTAATAAAGGGAAAAGTTCACCAATGCCCCTGTGGTTTACTTCAGAATCATTTATGTCCCTGTGGTTTTTTTCTTATCACATATGCCCCTGTGCTTTGTAAAAAATAAAAAACCACAGGGGCATGTGTGATAAAAAACATACCTTTTTGCAAACCACAGGGACATATGTGATAAGAAAAAAACCACAGGGGCATAGGTGATTCTGGAGTAAATCACAGGGCATTGTTGAACTTTTCCCTTTAATAAATAAAAAAAAACTGAAGACTGACACCCCCTGCACCGTCATGAACTGCGCCAAACAAAAGCTGCATCTTAAGCTCCCCCACAATCAACACCATCAAGCCAGTAACAACATTACAAGTATGCATCTAAATGCATATTGGTAATATTGTTATTCATACTTGTAATTTTTTTAACTATTATAATAAACAAAACCAAGGTGCGGTTTGCGGCTTTTGCTTTGCGAGTTGTCAAATTTGACTTATAATCACGAATAAATGCATGCATGCAAGCATGCAATTCAGAAGACTCCGTATCGTCTTAGATCGCGTGAGTGTAACATTTCTTAGTGCTCTTCGCTTTCTCTGTCTGAAATTCATTTAATGCTTGTGATTCAATTAATCCTACCGATTAACTTAAGTTCATAGCAGCACTCGGAACATGTACGTACATTTTAAAGATTTTCAAATTAGAATTAAACAAATAAAATAGGAAGATTTTTTGTGACAAGACTAGGAATTACATATGACTCGGCTATGTGGCGCACTCATTTTCATTCTATATTTTCCCCCCCATAAAAGACATAATTGGACATTCATTTTAATTCATAACCTCATTTCCCAACCTCTTTGTAGTAGTTTAATTTTTACTAGAATAATGCTATATTTGCATTAATTGCATACTCGTAGCGCCAAATCAAGATAAAAGCAGGGTGCGTAAAATTACACATATACAATGTAATCTGCTTATGTAGCACGTGGTCGTTTACAATTCAATTTAATTTGGATTCATGAATCAAATCGGTTTCGTAGGTTTGAGGATGTCCTCTAAAGAAGTTTTGCTTTATAGAGAGACTGATATTTGAGAATTAATTAGAAAGAAAGTATTTGGTTTGATTATTATTTTTAATTTTTAGCGGAATTCCTTATCAATAATTTAAAAAATGTCACTTTGTTCTTATTTTGTTTTTTGATTTAAAAATTTGTTAAAAAAGTACAGCAAAAAATAAAAAGGAATGAGAATAATAGATATTTTTTAATTATCAATAAAAATATTATTATTATTAACTGAAAATAAAAATAAAAAATAAACTAAGCACCACCTTATCCAATCGATAAAATTTAAGAGAAAAATAAGTTTGTTTGAAGGGAAAGAGTATCCCGAAATTATGTTGTTTTGCACAAAATTCTTTTGAGTCTGTCATTTTGCTCCCACTCATTGCACATGGTGGGTGTCCAGTTCAATGTTGATTGTGACTTGAAGTTTTTTGAGATAAGGTATGCTACTTAAAAAAATTAAAAAAATAAATAAAAAGCAAAACTCTTAAAGAAGTATTTGGTAGAGGAGAAATTTTTTTTATCCGAGAATCTCAATTTTCAAAAATATAATTTTTACATTCAGCTTACGATAATATCCGAAAATTAAAAATTTAAAAAAATTCAATTTTCTAGAAATTTGAAAAAAAATCTTGTACCAAACGTCCCCTTAAGTTAAATATCTCACTTTTAAAATTTTGTCTGCTACTAATAATGTTTGGATTGTCGATTTTCCTTCATCTCGAACTTTTCATTCATTTAATAAAGAATTAAAAGAAATAATCTTGTGAATTCCACCTTTCACTTCTAACGAATTTTGAATGCAAGAAGTTTATGTATGCTTGTTAACGTTAATATGTTGTTGAAATCTAATAGACAGAACTAGACTTATATATTTAGGTTGAATTCACATTATAAATAAATTATATGAAATATATACAATATTTATAAAATTGAATAATTGTTAAACCGCGTGCGTAATCATGAAATTTTAGATAAGAATGCAAAAAATACAATAAAAAAATAAAAGTATCGTGCCTCTAGAATCAATTGATATTATAGAGTCAATACATTCAAATTATTATTATTATTATTTTAAATCCAATTTGAATATCATGGGAACCATATTGTAGCGGTCCCCCCTCAAAAAAAAAAACACAGCTTCGTATTATTCAAATATATTTTCTATGAAGCAAAAATAATTAACTAAATTTTAATATATTATTAGTGTAATAATTCTAACATGAATTATATATTGTTAATTATATCATTAGAAAGTGTGAATCTTATATATATATATATATATATATATATATATATATATATATATATATATGAGTTTATTGTTTATTATGTCACTTATATTTATTGATTCACCTTTGAATAGTTATGATTTCTTTTTTCCCTCTCTTCATTTATCACCATTAATTCACTTTTATATGGTTATGATTTAGTGACTTGACAAAAGCTTAGGTCCAGTGACAAACTCTCTCTCTATATATATATATATATATATAAAGATGGTTTGAAGGCATGCGATAAACTCAAGGAAGACTTACAATCATAATTAACCTATTAATAAAAGATCATTGTCCAAAAGAAAATCATTATATTTTTTTGAGTTTAACAAAGTATCAAAAGATATTGTTCGAAATAAGGTTTTATAAAGAAAAATGCTTCTCGAGTGTGTATATATGAAATATATTCATCACATATAAGAATATGTAGTAGAATCATAATATATATATATATATATATATAAAATAAATAAGATTAGTTATAATTAAATGATAAAAATTCTTTTTTTTTTGGTAAGCAAATGATAAAAAATCTAAAAATATAGAATAATGAAATTATAAGTGTATGTAAGGAGATATTTTTTATATATAAATATGATATACATGAGGCAAACTTTAAGTCAAAATGACATGAAAATATATTCTAAAAATTCAGATTCAATTATCATTATTTATTTATATCGATCAGTATTAATCGTATATACATTTGAAAACTCAAAATGAATTTTCCATATAATATCACATTTAAAAATAAATTACAAGTCAGGAATGATTATAAATAATGTACATAGATTAATAATTTTTAAACTATTAATACAATTCCGAAAATACCATCTATTATCCGACAGACAATCCATGAAATAGTAACTTAAAAAGCGATTATATGTACATTTTTGTCACTCTATACGTACATACCATTCCCATGCCTTCTTCTCTCATCCAGTCATCCATCCTTCTGTATCATATCATTTGTATTCATATACATGCATCATTGCATACCGTCCAGTGGTACCATCCATCTAATGCATGTATGCATCACATATCAATACCATCATCAATGTTGAATTCGAAACATGAGTTCATGGAGAGAGAGAGAGAAGCTGCACTGTGGCGTGTGCCTGCTGTTGTATCTTTTGCCTGCACAGTGAGAGAAACAGAAACGTTTAACAAATAATAGCAAAACACATGTACGTACATATGATTTAACCTCTATTATTTTATAAAAAACAAAATTATTTTTTACATATATACATAAAGTGCATGAATTTTAAAAATTAGCGTCGTATACTATATCTAACTGGCAGATAAAATTATTTCTTATAACAAAAAATAAACTGATATATATATTGAGAATGTGTTTGGATTCTCTTCGGTAAAAAATGATAATGTTATTTGATCATAATCACTTATTTAAAAATTAATATTTTTCTCTTTTTTTTATCACATTAACAATGAGTGGTTATGATCAAATGATGTGATTATATAATCACTGTTTCACTTTAGAAGATCCAAATTCTTTGAAAATATAATTTATTATGCTACATGAAATAAAATTATTTCATATAACACACAAAAAATTAAATAAAATCCACTAAAAAAATAAAGAGAAATAAAATAAGTGAATTTTCTCCGTTTTTTATGTGTATATAAAATAATTTTATTCTTATAACTTGAGAAATAATATTTTCATATATATATATATATGTATTTATATATATTTGCGTCACAAAGTAATATATTATTATTATTATCCACACCAAAAATAGAATAAAATTATTATTATTATAATATATTTTATATGTCATATATTCTATATTCTAGAATTTATGAGCAATGATTTTCTCATGCTATTGGAGAGGAAGATATCTCTTACACACTCAAATTTATAGTGGGGCCCACACATAAAAAATAAAGAAAACAAAAAAAATTATTACATACAAAATAAACTCTTACTAACATGAGAAAAGAACTCTCCTACAACATAAGAATTCTTTTTCCCATAATTTATATAATGTTATGTTTTATGTACAGAGACAATACATAAAAACAACACAACACAAACTTTCTTCCTCAGCTCTTGTTCCATCTCTTTCTGGGTTTTGTTTTGCTTCTCTCTCACAATCTCGAGATTGGCGTGTGAGATAAAGACCACTGTAGTAGCATCCTCCCTTGAAGCTCTCTTGCAAGTTGGATTTTAAGGGAACTCTTCAGCATCTAATGAAGGAGAGTGGAGGCTCTCTTGGAGAAGAGAGCCTACCCGAGACTAACAACAACAACAACAGCAACAGCAAAAACAACGAAGAAGAAGAACCAAAATAGTGTCTTTTCTCAGTCCTATTTTCAGTTTCAAGAGCCTCACACATATTTTGTTTTTAGGCCTTAGTGGGTGTTATGGCACTTTCTATGCACAAGGACTCATCCAACAATCAAATGGATTCAAGCAAGTATGTGAGGTATACACCAGAACAAGTGGAAGCTTTGGAAAGGGTATATGCAGAATGCCCAAAGCCTAGTTCTTTGAGGAGACAGCAACTCATCAGGGAGTGCCCCATCCTTTCTAATATTGAACCAAAACAGATCAAAGTTTGGTTTCAAAATCGCAGGTAAAGTGTTGAATCATGCAAGGTTTCACACCTCAGATGTCAAAATCCTTTTTCTTCTTCTTCTTCTTCTTTCTTAAAAATTTCCTTCACCTTTTAGCTACTTTTATTTTTTATCCCAATGAAAGAAAGAAACTTTTTGTTTGTTTTAATCTCTAGTTTTGTTCACACTCCTCTTCTCTTTCTGTCCATTAATATTGGACCGTTTTAATAAGTATATCATGTTTCCAACTTTTTACCTGAGGAGAAACAAATTTTTGGCCTTATGAACATTAATAACTCATCCTATTTTGCTAAGTCTGGCCTGGGAAAAGTAGATGGGGAACAATGCTTTTCTTTTGGTTAAAAATCTCAAGTTTAAACTTGCTAGAATGATTTTGGTTTGTAACCCTCTTTGTATTTTGGTTTTGTGTATCATTGTAAAGTGTATTTGTTCATTCCGAAGTTGTTGAAGAACAGAATGAGTAGTTTATATCATGCTGTTTTTATAGTGGTAAATGCGGTTTCTGCACACAAACTTCGAAGTTATTTCCTTGGTTTTTTTTTTTTCTTACTAGACATAGCCAAATTTTTGTGTGTAGATGTCGTGAAAAGCAAAGGAAGGAAGCTTCTCGTCTGCAGACAGTGAATAGAAAGCTGACTGCAATGAACAAGTTGTTGATGGAAGAGAATGACCGTCTGCAGAAGCAAGTCTCACATCTTGTTTATGAAAATGGATATATGAAGCAACAGATACATACTGTAACCCCCTTATTTCTTTTCTGATTTTTTATTTTTCTTTGATGCATTATGTTTGTTTAAAAATTTACAAGTCTTCTATGTACTGTTTTCTTGAACAGGCATCTGCTGCTACTACTACAGACAATAGCTGTGAGTCTGTGGTAATGAGTGGTCAGAACCAACAGCAAAACCCAACACCTCAGCATCCCCAGAGGGATGCTAACAACCCAGCTGGGTAAGCAACTCATTTTTTTTTTTGCTAATAAATGTGTATTGTTGTTCATTTTTATGTTTTCATTATCTTTGTTCTAATTTTTGGTTGTGCTAGTCTTCTCGCCATAGCTGAGGAGACCCTGGCAGAGTTCCTTTCCAAGGCTACTGGAACTGCTGTCGACTGGGTCCAGATGATTGGGATGAAGGTATGGCCTTTTCAACAATCTTAATAGTTGTTGCTTTCATATATTTGTATGTTAACATTCATTCATTTGTTTAAAACCTTTGAATGTTTTGGTTTTTGTTGTTTTTGTAATGTGTTGTGCATTGAGTAGCCTGGTCCGGATTCTATTGGAATCGTTGCTGTTTCCCGCAACTGTAGTGGGGTAGCAGCACGAGCCTGTGGCCTTGTGAGTCTAGAGCCCACAAAGGTATGTTGTTGGTTTGTTACCACATTGCTGACAACGAACCGTGTTTTTTGTTTTTCTTGACTTTCATGTACTACTATGTATCTCAGGTTGCCGAGATTCTTAAAGATCGGTCGTCATGGTATCGTGACTGCCGGTGCCTCGAAGTGTTGAGTATAGTCCCCACAGGGAATGGGGGCACAATAGAGCTCATGTACATGCAGGTCTAGTGGCTATTTAAATTTGTAAAGGAAGCTATAATGCAGTTTGAATTAATTTCTATTTAATTCCTCAATTGTTTTGTTGATATATCTTTTTTGAATATCAGACATATGCCCCTACAACATTGGCAGCAGCCCGTGACTTCTTTACACTAAGATACACTACGAGTTTAGAAGATGGAAGTCTTGTGGTACTGAGAAGAATCTTGCTTCTTTTGTTTTTTCTTGAGTTAGGATGTGACTTATTTCTTAGGAGACACTTAATATGGCAAAATGACTGTCTATTTTGGCTTGGTTATTGGAACTGTTGCAAAACATTTGAAGGCTATAGCTTATTGGGGAATACTTACAATAATAGATTTAGATTTGTTTTATGTCAATGCATTTTTTAATATTGGATGATTATTTTCTCTTGTAAGTGTAAAATATTTTAACATGTTGAAATTATCATGCTGACAGATATGTGAGAGATCATTGACTTCTTCAACTGGTGGCCCCACTGGCCCTCCTCCTTCAAACTTCGTGAGAGCTGAATTGCTTCCCAGTGGTTATCTAATTAGACCATGCGAGGGTGGTGGATCCATTATTAATATTGTTGATCACATTGATTTAGATGTAAGTTACAGATACAATTCATATCACTTTTAGAATTTCCATATCTTTGCATCTTTTTGTCCTCAGTTTCTTAACAGTTTTATTGCATGCAGGTCTGGAGTGTCCCTGAAGTACTGAGGCCCCTTTATGAATCATCAAAAATCTTGGCTCAGAAATTGACTATTGCTGTAAGTTAACTTACAAGTTACATGGATTTTACACATTTAACCATGTCAATATAAATTAATGAACCTATTGAAATCTACTTTACAGGCCATGCAACATATAAGACAGATAGCCCAAGAATCAAGTGGAGAAATTCAGTATGGTGGGGGACGCCAACCTGCTGTGTTGAGGACATTTAGTCAAAGACTTTGCAGGTAAGGCCCAACCATACTTGGTGTCAGAATCAATACAAAGTTGGGCATTTGAATTATTGACTGGCTCCATTTTAGTTGATGTGACCAAGTTGAAGTTGGTTGATTATTTTTTCATATTATTGCTTAAGTTGAAGCCTAGTCTTAAACAATGTATTTTCCTTAATGACCAATAATTTATTTAAACCCTATACTTTAGGGGGTTCAATGATGCTGTGAATGGGTTTGTGGATGATGGTTGGTCACTGATGAGTAATGATGGGGTGGAAGATGTGACTATAGCCATAAACTCATCTCCCAACAAATTTTTGGGGTCCCATTACAATTCCTCAATGTTTCCAGCATTTGGAGGTGGGGTCCTATGTGCCAAGGCATCAATGCTACTGCAGGTACTTCAGCGGCATACAGTTACATGAACTGTTCCTTCTTTTATTCCCAAGTCCCAATTTGCTAAGCATCTGCTAAATTTATCTTTTACCAATGTTGGTCTTTAGGATGTTCCTCCTGCGTTACTGGTTCGATTTTTGAGGGAGCATCGATCAGAGTGGGCTGATTATGGGGTTGATGCATACTCTGCTGCATCTCTGAAGGCTAGTCCATATGCAGTTCCTTGTGCAAGACCTGGTGGTTTCCCCAGCAGCCAGGTCATTTTACCTCTTGCTCATACTATTGAGCACGAGGAGGTATAAATCTTCTAAACTATGTGATGACCTTCATTCTATATTCCTGTAGTATATGCTCATTTTTTATCCACTGCAATGATGCAGTTCCTGGAGGTAGTTCGCATAGAGGGTCATGCATTTTCCCCTGAAGACATGGCATTGGCGCGTGACATGTATCTGTTGCAGGTAAAGTTGTACATTTGATTATTTTACTTAGGTAGGAAGTTGTTGCTGTCTCTGTGAATAATTCTTAATGACGTTTTTTATATGCAACTTTATGCTGCAGCTATGCAGTGGAGTTGATGAAAATGCAATTGGGGCGTGTGCTCAACTTGTGTTTGCACCTATCGATGAATCATTTGCTGATGATGCTCTTTTACTGCCTTCTGGTTTTCGCGTCATTCCATTGGATCCTAAAACAGTTAAGTGCCAATTATCAACAACTTGCTGCATGCTTTTAATCTAACTTGGTCATTAAACCATTGTTAGATTACTTATCTTGTTTTATTTCAAATTTTTTACTACTTCAATGCGGGGGTCTAAGCTCATTGTACATATGATCTTGTGTTGACTTAAACAATGTCTTGTTTTTGTTTCTTTTGTATCTCAGGATGGTCCAGCTGCAACTAGGACATTGGATTTGGCATCAACGCTTGAAGTAGGATCTGGAAATGCTCGTCCAGCTGGTGAAGCTGATTTGAATGGTTACAACCTTAGGTCGGTCCTTACCATTGCATTCCAATTTACCTTTGAGAACCATTTGCGGGACAATGTGGCTGCCATGGCTCGCCAGTATGTGCGTAGTGTTGTTGGATCTGTTCAGAGGGTTGCCATGGCAATTGCTCCCTCTCGGCTCAATAACCAACTGGGGCCAAAGTCACTTCCTGGTTCACCAGAGGCTCTTACTTTATCACGATGGATCTGTAGAAGCTACAGGTTAGTCTTTAATTAATTTTTACTGCAAATATATATATATTTTTTACTGAGGCTAATTTCGTAGCCTTATGAAATTTTTGATTTTCTTCTGTTTTAGTAGTCTTTGAAGGGTAGTTTCTGTGCTTGTTTAATAGGCGGGTGTATGGAGCAGAAAAGAAATGTTCTCAGGTCTTATATATGCATTTGGCCTTGACATTATAAAATGTTTTTTTCAGGATCCACACTGGTGCAGAGCTTTTTAGAGTTGAGTCTACAGCTGGTGATGCAATCTTGAAGCAACTTTGGCATCATTCAGATGCAATCATGTGTTGTTCTGTGAAAACAACTGTAATGACTTGCATTGTTCTTTTAATTTTCTTCTCTGTTTATCCAAATCTGAAAACAAGTGCTATGTTATTCTTCAGAAAGTGCCTTTCTTTTACTCATTACTGAGATTACTATGAATTATTGCAGGCATCTCCAGTGTTCACCTTTGCAAACCAGGCTGGACTAGACATGCTTGAAACTACTCTGGTTGCCCTTCAGGATATAATGCTCGATAGGGTTCTTGATGAAGCTGGCAGGAAGATTCTTTGCTCTGAGTTTTCCAAGATAATGCAACAGGTGATTAACGTGTAAATTATTCATCTTTTAGTTTAGGCACATATGATTAAATTAATGCATGGAAATATTTAGAAACTTGGAATCTAGAATCTCTATTTCACTTGGATAGGTTGCATTCTTCATTTTGCTATTCTGTTTTATTTGAGTTTAGTTTGTGTCTTATATCTCATGTGACATTCTCTATTTTTCCCTATTTGTTTTCAGGGATTTGCATATCTGCCTGCAGGGATATGTGTATCCAGTATGAATCGGCCAGTGTCTTATGAGCAAGCCATTGCATGGAAAGTTCTCAATGATGAGGATTCCAATCACTGCTTGGCCTTCATGTTCGTGAACTGGTCTTTTGTCTGATGGGGGAAACCATCATCAAGAATAACTTATATTATCTATTAATTTATATTCAGTACTTAATTACCAGATACTTCCAGACAGATGTACTAATGACAGCTTTTCTTTATGTCTTATGAAGTTTATATAAACTTATTATTTTGGTGAAATCCTTCTTCATAACTTCCTTTACATCATTAGAATTCTATTATGATGTTGGTAACGTTTTCTTAAAATGTTTTTGGTTTACTTCTTTTGGGGTATTTTAATACTGAGATCAGGGTTAGTAGGGTGTCTTTCTTTTTTACCATTTTCCTTCACGGACTACGAAGGTCATCATGGTGTTTTGCTTCCTTCTGAAGCGAAAGTGTCTTGGTTTCAACTTCAGAATATATGATGGTGTTTTTTAACTTTCATGGGACGTACATAAAGTGACTTTTGTGCTGGACTTCAATTCCTGTGCCCTATGTTAATTTCATAGTCTTGTTATTGGTTTTTTTTTATTTCTTTGGTGAAAAACTTTTGTTACTATTTATCTGGTGTATAGCTATTTTTGGAAATTTTACTTGATGTATGATAAGTTTTTCTGACATTCATATGCAAGTCATTGGATAAAATTTTCATCTAAATATTTTCCAATCCAATTTACCTTTAGGTCTGGAAGGGATTTTCTTATTTATAATAAAATAAAATATATCAATGTGTCATTAATACTCTTGTTATCTTTTTCAGAACTAAAAAGCCTTGTGTTCTAAGCCTCAATGGAAGATTAGTTTTAAATAAAAAAAAATGTTATATATAAAAAAAAAATTAGAGAGAAAGAATGGATGAGTTTGTATATAACTAACTAGTAAACGAAACGAAGTTCTTACAGATCAAAATCTGTGGGGAAAAAAAAATTATATTCATTTGATCTGAGAAGAAAATTACTACAAATAAAAATCACTGCTAATACTAAATTTACAAGTTTATAATTTCATAAATTTCTCTTAATTTTATAAATAAGTGGCTGTCCGACGTCGAAAAGCTTTTGCCCTATTTCCAAAGTATCTATTCTAGTTTAAAACCAATAAAATATATAGTTTCAAACCCATGTACCAAAAAATAAAATAGTTTCAAACCTCAAAATTTAGGAGTTAATAATTTAATTTGAAATTTCTCCCTTTACTTTCAATGGGTGTGATATTGTCAATACATTTTATGCGATAATTAATTAAAACACCCTACATTGACCTAAATTAGGAAGTACATAACCATAAAGGTGTGATCTCAAGTGTCATCCAAGTAACATGCTAAGTTTTCAAGAGTCAAGAGTAGCTTTCTCCCTTGTCATTCATCAAATGCGTCATCACAAACATTCAACCCTACTAGAATGGACATGTAGATGCTAGAGGAGAAAACCTTTGTAGCAACGAACATTTATATTAAAAGGGAAAAAAATTTGAGACTTAAAAGAAATTATACAAAGAAGTATGGATTAAAATAAAGAAAAAAAATTTCTTTTTAATAAAACGGAATACCAAATTCGATACTCCCGTAAAACTAGAAATTTTAGTGCTACATAGAAGAAGGGAATAATGATCAAAATGTCACGTTTTATCAAAAAAATTTACTTAAATGCTATGCGAACAGTATTTTTTACCAAACTGCCACGTGTCATAATTCGCTACCACTGGTAGCGAATTTCGTGGCCAATGATTTCGTGACATGTGGTCATATTGCAGACCAAATTCGCTACCACTGGTAGCGAATTATGACACGTCAGTTTTTTCCCTCGAAAGTGTGCCACGTGTCATAAAAACATTGACGAACATAATTTGCTACCAGTCGTAGCGAATTATGTTTACGTGACAGTCTGGTAAAAAGTACTGTTTGCGTAGCATTTGAATAATTTTTTTTTTTTCAAAAGGTGACATTTTGGTCACTCTTCAGAGGAACTGCAAAGGTTTGATGAAGAGTAGGACATCCTTTAATCTTGTACTAGGATATACATGATGTGATGACGTGCAAGATGATGGGGGTTTTTTGTATCACAAATTAGGCCTTCATGCTGATTTAACAAATGTATGGGAAAAAATTTAAAGAATTCTTAGAATGGAAGATAACTTTCTGCATGGCAAGGATGCACAAGAAAGTGACAGACAAGAAAAAATAACAGTACCTAAGTCAACCATATGGAACAATATTGTGTTGTGTTTGGCTTGAGCCTCTGGTCATATTGCTTACCAATACAGAACCAACATTAAAGTTTGGCTGGAGGTAAGACCAGAAAAGACGAACTATAATATGATGATTGTGGTTAGAAATTCTCTATCAGAAAAGGAGTTAGTTGTCACAAGTGATGATGCTGTGGTCTGTCCTAATATAAGACATGGGATAAAAAGTCCATTAAATATGAAGAGTTTAGGGTTTAATGAGATGTAGATTAGGTTTATCATACTTTATGTACCTAGTCGTATTCCATTATATTAAATGGCATCCAATATGTATGTTCTAAAATCATCTAAACAAAGGTAAAAAAATTTATTTTGAAACTTTAATTATTTATTTGAGACGAGTCAGATTTGCATAATTCTACAATCCAATATACACATACACAATGGCGGAGCTGGGCTTCAATTTGAGTCCGGACCAAAAAATTATATGTGTGTTTACTTTTCGTAAATTTAGTTAATTCATATCAAATATATTTAAATTATATTAAATATAGAGCTCCTGGGCAAGTAGCACCAAGAAGAGTTCTAATTTTATTCAATATTTTTTAATTTTACTAAAAAAATATTTTCTTTGTTTATACAAGTGAAAATTGAACACATAACCTAATCCAACTTACCCAAATCTTTCACCAAAATTATTTTAAGTTTTAGATAGAGTCAAATTATAAATTGTAACCCGGGCCAAATTATAATTTTAACTCAGGCCAAATTATAATTAATTATATAATTATATATAATAAGTACAATTTGTTAAAATTTAACCCGGGTCGAGGCCACACCCAACTAATACATGGCTCCGCCACTGCACGTATATAAAATTGATTCATTTTTTCTGCTGTCAATGTAGAAAAATTATCTACATTGAGCAAAAACGACGTTATTTTGAGTGAAAATTAAGATATTTTGTATTATAATTTATTTTATGATCATAATTGTCTTTTTTATTATAATTTTTTAATCTTTTAATCCAAAACAATATTATTTTAGGAGTGAATATAGATAAATTATCTACATTTATTATATAAAGATTAAAGCCATAAAATTAATCTCTAGTCAAGTGATACGGCAATTATTCAACTACGATCATAAGGATTATTTAAAAGATTCAAACCATGTATTTTTGACAATTCATCAAATTTCATATTATCACTTGGGCGAACACTAGGAAAAAAAATTAACCTTTTTTTTCATGTCTTTATATTTTGCAAAAGAGAAAATTAATTGCTTTATTGGAACATATAAACGGTGAGTGTAAAAGATTATTTTAACCCAAAATTTTAAGGTATTAAATGATGATTTTTTTAACAGTTTATATTATTCACTAATACACCCCTCTTATGTAAGAACTCTTTGAGCTTGAAATGTGAATATTGAATAGGCTCCATTTTTTATTTTTGTTTTCTTTTACTTATTGCTTATTAAATTCCACAATTATGACCTTATGGTTACTGAAGTTCTGATACCATATATAAAGAACCAATTCAACCCAAAACTTTAATGTATTGGTTTTAACGATTTATATTATTCTCTAACACACCCCTTCAAACAAGAGTCATTTGGACTTGAAGCGTGAATATTGCATAGACATAATTTTATTTTATTTTATATTTAAATCATGCTTATTTATTTTCATAAGTGAAGCAACGGTGATCAGTGGCGTACCCAAGAAATATTATTTATGTCTGCATATTTAGCGATGGAGGTTCGAAGACAATGTCCCCGAATATTTCTTTTTAAAGAATGTTTTAAATGTATTAAAAAATAAAAGAATATAAACATAAAAAGAAAAGAAAACTTGAACTTACTACAAAAATAAAGTACATTTTGGGTCCTCAATAAAAATGATGGGATCCAATTTTATTCCTTAGAAAAAAAATTCACTTGTGATCTCTCTGAATTTCAAAATAGACCCATGTTAGTCTTTTTGAGGGATTAATGTAGGTCTTCTTTGAATTTCAGAGGGATCACAATTTCGACTAACTGGAAATACTTTGGAATTCAGAGGGACTGAGAGTCGACTTTTTTTATAAGAGTTTAAATTGGGCCATGTAATTTTTGTTGATAACTCAAAAAAAATATTTATTTTTTTCAAAAATTTGTGTGTGCACTTGCACACACTTACAACAATACAGGTTCACCGATGGCGGTGATAATCGAACTCGTGATCTTATGGTCACCGAAACTCTGATATCATATAAAGAATCATTTTAACCCAAAATCTTAAGACGTTGGCTGAAGGCTTTTTAATGATTTATATTATTCACTATCCGTGAATGCTTTGGTATTTCACTTAAAAAAGGGATTGTCTACTTCTTTTTTTCTTACTTACTTTATCTACTTTTTTTTAATATCATTGGATCAAAATCTCATTGAAGAGAGAAAAGTGAAATTTTGATTCAATAATATTAAAGATAAATAGGTAAGATAGACAAGAAAAAAATAAAATAAAATATCTTACCTGCTTAAAAAGAAAATAAAAAACTATCCAAAAGAAAAAGAGGAAAGCAGGGCACATATTTGAGTTTGAGCAATTGATGAGGGTCTTTGTTTTGGGGTGGGAATTCTATTGGGGAATAGAGATCCGTGGGGCCCACAGAATCTCCCTTACAAATTAAGAGTAAATATATATGGTCAAGGGATGACGACATGGTTTCTGTTGATCCATCACAAGTATGTGTCTGTCAAATCCTGACCTTATCCAATGGATCACGTCCCTCTCTCTGATCTCTGCTTTCTGCTCCCACTAATTTCAACCATATTCACCAGTACGAGTAACACCAAAAGAGTGTGCTGTTTATCACTTATTATATTACAGTTCGAGTATTCAAGGATGATGAATCGTTAGTTAGTAATAAATTAAGGAAGAGTATATAAGTGGAT